TAGAAGATACAATCAGGAACAATCACAATTATTTAGTTTGTCATGTTTAAGTCCAATAACACATCTGTACGTCTGACATGCCAAGATACCATTGAGAGGCTGACCAAATTAACGTAAAAGTCGAAACAACAAATATTCTTTGTGTTTTAATTAGCAAGTGCCCTCCACAAAACAATTATTTATACCTTACAATATCACAATCTAAAGTGTCACTGAAAATGCTCTCCCAGGCAACCATTAAATCAAGACTAGTGGGTTTTACGGATCACTGGAATAGCCTGGGGAGTAGAAGGTAAAAGATAAATAGAGCTGCAGTCATGTCCCTGGTGATAGGATTTGTTTCTTCTTAAAATACAGGATCCTTTTAAGGAAAACAAACATAAGTTCACACATGTTATGATTTTTTCCAACTGTCAACTGTTTAACTTTCTATGGTTAATTCTAATCTAGAAATGGTCAATTTGTGAGTTAAAGTTATTAAATATAAAACCAGCGGTTTTTACTTTGTTTTTCTTTTATTTATTTATTTTTTTTATTAACGCGATATCATTCGAAATTTTTCACGTTACTTTAATATTGGAGAGTGTTTCTATTCTTTAGCAGGGTTCACATCATTTTTTTTCTACGTCGTTTCTTAAATACGAGTTTTCGGCCCCCCCTGTTCACTCGCGAACGGCATTTCGTCACTCTCCCCTTTCCCAGTTTTCCCTTTTATTTTCCCCAAAATCTACCTTTATTGTTCCTTACCCTCGGTTGAAACTGTCTTTTTTTGTAGTGCTCGCCGGCACAACGGACTATTTTCCTTCCTTCCTGAACATAATAGGTTTATAGCTCAGGTAGTTCTCCCCGCGGCTTATAAACCACTGCGACCCCCCTATGGACATTTTTTGTTAATTTGCTTAGGATAGTAGTGCCATCCCTCTAACGGTTTTTCGAGATTTTCGATTGTACAGTCGTTAAGTTATGGTCATTTAATGAGAATTTGTAAAACGAACTATGCAGGTGTTGGGTTTCTGAATTGGATAACAATCGAAAACCACTTTGCATGTTTATTTTCATATATAAAATTTCGCAGAAAGCTACAATTTTATTGAATAAGCTAATAGTAATTATATTTTGAGAAATATGTTGCATTTAGAATAGAACTAATAATATAATTTGTTAAAGTCGTGAGGAGCGGTCAAGAATGAGGTAGTTTAGAAAAACACCTTTTTCATTTTTTTTTTTTTTTGCCGACGTTTCGACCTTTATTCGGGGCATAAAGTGTGGTGCTATTCTTGTGGTGTCATATTGGTTTTGTGTGAAAGTGTTACACTCACAATAATAAATAATAATGTGTGGTGATTAGTGACAGTTAATCGATATTTATTTAGAAATCGTGAGATGCGGTCTGGTGTGATGTAGGTTTCAGAAAAACATTTTCTTTATCGTGCCAACGTNCGTGACCTCGATCCACTCGGACACTAACTTCCCATCTCAACCCTTTTGAATTTTCCCCCCTTTTTGCCATTTCTCAAATGTCGTGTAATCTATTTGATTCTCGGCGACAAATGAAATGACCACGGAGAGCTTTAGTGAAGGTATATTTCAACTTATTAAATTCACTAGTTTTCGTGGTCCGCTTGACCAATTGATATCTTTCAATTAATTATGGTTTTTAGTTGAGATAAAAAAATCGGTGTCACGAGCGGGATCACTAAAGCTCTCCGTCGTAGGTCTCCGATGTAGAGTGGTCGTTTCCATAAATTATTATGTAGACTAAACGAGGAAACAACCACAATTTATGTGGTCTGGCCGTTTTCATAGAAATAATCTATCACAATAGTCACGACTAAATAACGAAACAATCCAATTTATTTAGTTTGATTGTTCCCAAAGATTTAAATAAAGTTTTAAGAAAAAAAACGCCAATTCACAAGATTGGTTGTTTCCGTGGAGTAAAATGGATTAACAAGTAAACAACCAAATTTATGTAGTTTGACCAAATATGTAGAGTAAATGTCGAATTAGCCGGGAAACATAAAAATGTGTAGGTTAAGTCGCTGCCATAGAGTATAATCGCGAATTGACAAATTTTTATTCGTTTCCGGTCATCCAGGTCTTCATTGATTTGCGTATTATTTTGTCAATCGTGTCCCCACAAACAATGAGGATAGGCAGACCAAAATGATATGAAACCTCCAGACTGCATGAACCATTACCTCCCAGACCTCATCTAGAAATCTCACGATTTAGATTGAAACAGTTGTAGTGAGTGTTTTTTGTTTTAATATTGCAAAGAATGAAGAAGATGGGATTTAATAAATTTCTAAAAAAGAATGACATCGGATTTGTTCTTCAGATTAGTACCCTTTGAAAATGAAAATTGGCAGCCGAGAAATTAATCTTTTCCGATGCATAAAACAATTTACGATTTTCATTTATCAGTCAATTCATTTTTCTAAAGACAATACATCATCGTTAACGGTGATAAAATCGATATTATACAGCCGTCGATTTGTTTGCCAATCCCATGCTATCTTTAAAATAGCACAGATTAAAGATTCGACGTGTCCTAGAAGTGATTATTTGCTGTACTTGGTGCGGAAGTAAAGCAAGGAGGGGCATTCACAGATGCGCCCCAGGCAAGGTGTGCACTTCACATCTGCCCTGAACTTCTCAATATAGCTCAATCCGTAAAATACGACACTCGACTCCGAAGCAAGGCCGATCCCCCCTCAGATGATTCGTCGCTAGGCGAAGGGACCAGCTGAAAGTAACCAATGTTGACTATTTAGGTAGTTCGACAATTGAGGTTTTCCCATTTTAAATATGAACGGCTGTTTAAAGATTTTTAGTCCTTCTGTCCAGAAGACCGATAAATGTCAAAGGTTTATAGAAAGTATATTCTAAATTGTATAAATTAAGACATATTATCCAGCTATCCCACGTATGACCGATTAGTTTAACAATAGAATACGGATAAAAATATTGTAGCATATTTAATCTCAATTGAGATCATAGCAGTTACGAAACAAGATTCCTACGAATAAACAAAAATATAGACAAGCTAAGATGTACAAATATATATCTTTAACAAAAAAAAAATTGAAAAATGATGGATTGTACGTAGCGAAACAGGGCTATTAATCTTCCAACACCAGATGTGATACGATCGTTTTGATTGGCTAATTGCAATTTAAAAAAATAAATGTAAGCATTAAGCTCAATGTTACATTAATTACACGTGTAATGAATTTATGTTTCTTCATTATATAGAACGAGGTAGATAGATCGATAAATTTACTAAACATGGTATTTAAATATTTAACACCAGGCACATACTAGATGTAAAATTTTAAAAGCATATAAATAATTACATAAATTATTAAATTGTATTTGGCAACACCTATCTTGCAAAAAGGGTCTCGAGTGAGCAGAAGCATAAGAGTACACTTACGACAATTTGGTCAGTTATGGATAATGGATGGACAGTCAGTTAAGTCAATAATTAAGCCCAAAAAGAGTTCCTGAAAGGATGAAAATAAATAAACAAAACAACCTGATTATACCCTTATTCCATGGATTATGATAAAGATAGAACAACGAAACATTCCAAATTATATAATGAAGTCGTTTCCATGGAATGAAATGACAAAAAATTAAATGAACATTCTATATTTTCTAAATTTAGCCGTTTTTTCCATGGATTGTGATAAAAATAGAACAACGAAACATTCCAAATTATATAATGAAGTCGTTTCCATGGAATAAAATAACAAAAAATTAAATGAACATTCTATATTTTCTAAATTTAGCCGTTTTTTCCATGGAATATGATAAAGATAGAACAACTTCCAAATTTATACAGTGAAGTCGTTTTCATGGAATGAAATGACAAAAGATTAAGTAAACATACATTTACTAAGTTTTTCTTTTTCCTTGGATTATGTTAAAGATCGAACAACGAAACAATCCAAGTTTATTAAGTGGTGAGGTCATTTCCATGAGCATGGATAATAAAATAGAAATAAACAAATCCCATTTTTTTAAGTTTAGTCGTTTCCATAAAATATTAAAAATATTATTGTTGATCACACCGCAGACGACACGAAAAAATCTCACAGCATGTAGAAATAATAATAATAATATATCAGAATGTAGATATAGTAATAATATATCAGAATGTAGAAATAATAATAATATATGAGAAAAAATTACAAAACTGGTTGAATATAAACTATGATATATGAAATATAAAACAAAACAAAGGAGGAAAAATTATATTAGTATTAATTACTGTTCCTTATTTGAAAAGAAATAAAATTAATGATGATACATGTGAATATTCGTAAAACGAACAAATTTACCATTGTGTATAAACTGCAGAAACAAGTAGTTAAATTATTGTAAGAAACTTAAGATATTATACAATAAATATTACAAAATAATTGCATAACTCTTTATTTATTCTGATATAATATATATAAAAAATCTAGAGGAATAACAAAATATTGATTACTGGAACCGAAGTTAATTATTAATAGAGTAAATTTGTTTAAGGAAATTATTAAATGATGAGAAATATTCAGTTGGAGAGAATTATTATCCATGTTCATTATTCTATTATAGGAAGAGGTAAAAAAAATTTTTGGTTTGAAAGGGAGGAACCGTCGATATCATTATTAATAATTTTCATAAATTACTAAGTCTTGATGTTCACGTTTCAAGATCATCTATGGTCAGATTTCATTTTGTCAGAACTAATTTCCATTTTGGGAATTCCAGATTTGAAAGCAATTAAACATAGACATTTATTTGGGTAGTTTTCAAATGTAGAAATGTAGGAAATAGAGGACCAAATAGAGGATATATTCAAGAATAGATCTTATAGGATATAAAAATAATACTAAAGTTAATTGAGTCTATAATTAAGCTCAATAAGAATCTGAATCTGAAAATATAAACGTACAAAAGATATTGTGGTGGATGACTGGGCGTTTTACCCCGCTGAAGAAATCGAGAAATGCAAGAATGTCCGATTTACATAGGAATTGCCGTTTTGCGAAAAGTCTACGAAATGACCCCATATTGTCTTGTCGGAATGTCAATGTCTGCGGATTGAAAAAGATAAACACCAGCCGGGGAAAAATCTGTCTTCGAGTAGAGAGTAGAAGGAAAGAGTGAGAGGGAGAAAGCATATCTCTCCTTAGATCGGCGCTTGTGAGGGTGGAAGGAAAGCCAGGCACCTGTATTCCGATACTGGAGGGAGTCCCGCTAAGCGGTCGGCTGGTGGGGGATCTAAACGTTATGATTGGATGGAGGCACGTGCTTTTACCCCTCTACAATCTTAGCAGACCACCTGACCTAGCAGCTGCCAGCGGGAGACCGGTAGTTCACCGGCATGTCCCACTGACACTTGTAGAGGGGGTTCATTTGGGAGGGGATACCTATAAGTAGCTCCCACTAGCTGTCCGTCTTCATAACCGTGCGTCATTCCGACTCGATCAGAGAGACGATCCGCGGCCCGACCGACACTGAGGATTACGTAGTGCTGAAAGTGTTGTGCAGCGGACTTTTGAACTTGTGACACAGTGGTTCTGCGCCAAAATGCATATAGTCAACGACGAGCCTTCCATACCCAGGACCCTACCGTTCAAAAAGAGCAATTATTCACATTGCCCTTTGAAGAAACGGCCGGTCCCGCTGATGGTGAAAGACGATTCCGAGCAAAGAGGTAAGAATCTGACATTTTCTCTCACAATGTTGTCGGCCTTTAGGCGTCGTGATCGTACGGTAGATTATAAATTTTATTTTGGTTTATTGCAGATGTTAGTGACGACAACTCGGAACCGGAAAACTTGAGCACGAAGCCAGAAGATTTAACGTGCAAGTCTTTGACGCCTTCGATCGGTGTCGCCCTGATTTCGGCGAAGAAAGAACCTCAGAGCCCTCAGAGGACGGAAGAGAGTACGATGTCATTGGGTCTACCCTATTCCGGAAGTTTTCTAGCAAAATCCGGCCCCCTGGAACCACTGAATCTGAACACGCAGTCAGAACTGCAGGCATGGCCCAGACCTTACTATCCGTCTCACTACATTCCGCTCAACTATCACTACTCTTCGGATCTGTACAATTACTACAACGACAAATACACGCCGAGTCCATCGCCGCCGCAACAGCCCCCATTTCTTCCAGTTCAACCGAAGCCGATGTATATGACTTACAGCGGTGAATGTGTACTTTCTCCGGCTTCGTCCACTTCCTCTTACGGGGGGCTTTATTCGCAGTCGCCGACAACTCCGGAGGATCTCTCGTCGCCGGGAAGCGTCGGTAGTTCGAGCCCACCCAGGAAAAACAAGGATTCGCCGAGATATCAGTGCGTCTTTTGTAACAAATCCTACACCACCTACTCTGGCCTGTCGAAACACCAGCAGTTCCATTGTTCGGCGAACGAAGACTCAACGGCAAAAAAATCATTCAGCTGCAAACACTGTGATAAGGTTTACTTCAGCCTCGGCGCCCTCAAGATGCATATAAGGACGCACACGCTGCCCTGCAAGTGCAAACTTTGCGGAAAAGCCTTCTCCAGGCCGTGGCTCCTGCAGGGCCACATTCGGACGCACACCGGCGAAAAACCGTTCACCTGCCCCCATTGCAACAGGGCGTTCGCCGACAGATCGAATCTCAGGGCCCATTTGCAGACACATTCGGACGTTAAGAAATATTCCTGCCCCACCTGCTCCAAAACGTTTTCGAGGATGTCCCTGCTCACGAAGCACGTCGACGGCGGCTGCCCCGGTACGAATTCTACGACCGGTGAAGACATGTACAAACAAGAAATGTATTCAAACTAATTGTATTGGTAATGCTTACAAATATGCACACCATTGCATTCCTAAGTCAACTGTTGTAAATAAGTAGCCAGTTAAGCAAATGTCTTTGGGACAATAAGTTGAGTCAAAAATTCTACTTTTTTAATTTATTTATTTATTCTTATTTTTTATTTTATTTTTATTTTAACGAATAAAGCTTTTGAATGGCTAGATATATTAGAATTAAAAAATAAGACTGATTTGTATGTAATTATCGTTTTTCTTAGCATTATTTCAAACAATTACGGCCAACGTAAAAATTCACAGTACAAAGTTGTTAGAATTGTTATTGACCGCAGTGGTCCATACTTGAAAGTATTTCAATTTACCGCAGGTCGATTTTTAATTTCAAAAATGTGCCATTGAGGAATGTAATACCAAAATTATATATTTGTATTCCTTGATTTAAGTTTCCTGTTAGCCATTCAGTTCTAGTCATCTTAGCGTATATTTAGGTTTATTGGAAATAAATCAAATGTTGTATATAACAGAGCGACGTCGAGCATTGAGCTGTACAATATAAAATATTGTAAATAATGTAAGTGCCTTAGTACTGAATATATACTGTTCCTTGAAAAATACACAATTATTGTTTTACCAATATGAAAAATTTTAATACAATATTTTTTCATAATACATTTGTCATACATTTTCCTCGTGTCCTGTTCATAATAGCTAACATAGTTTCATCGACAGCTAAGCATTTACTTGAGGTGATTTGGTTTTCTTAGAAAATACGACTTTGTGACAAGTCGTCTTCTTGCAGAAAGCCGTAAGAAAATAATTAAAACTGTTGGTATAATTAAGATAATAAATGCAATTTAGTGTAATTGCCATTTATCTCATCTGGGTAATAAAATATTCATATAATCTTTCACTTTTGGGAAATGAAAAAAGAGGTGATCAAATTAATGACCAATCTTTGTTTAATATGGATGCAAGGAGTTTCTTCATGGTGGGAAACGGTATAAACAACGACTGAATATGAAAAACAACTATGAATAGACCAAAATGATCGTGAACGCCCAAACTGACAGACATCACCTCCCAGACCCCAAGAAGAACTATCACGTTACGTGGGAATAAATCCTACAAAACAAAGAACAAGCTGGATAGTTTGTTATATTTGCCAAACAACGAAAAACACCCCACTTTGTACAAATGAATTCAGAATCTCCAATATTCCCTCGGGAACCAGACTCAACTGGCCATAAAGATTATAAAATGACGTTTCATGTATAAGATTATATTGGTATTTATATCCATAGGTTTTTAATTAATATTTCGACCTAAAGCTTTGTCGTAATATCGTTTTTGCTTATACTGCTTGATCCAAAAACCCGTAATGATAGATGCCAAATCATTACTTTTCAAAATAGGTATGTAAAACCTTTGCTGCAGTTACAACTTCGAGGTTTGTTCCAAATAGTCCATTTTGAGTAAAAGAAAACATATTTGCTAAAAACAATATTTCTGTTCCAATTTCAGATAATAGACGTTTCCTTATGTAATCGCGTCAAAAGTGTCAAGTCTGATGCACAGACAGTACTGAATCAACGAACGGTTGACCGTGAAACCTGTTTGCCGATTGCACCCAGTTACGACTGGTGATATTATATTTTGGCTTATTCGCTTTCATTTGTCGGTTAAGTCTAAAGTCGGTGCAGTTATTGTGAACTGGGAGAGGGAAAAATGAGAGAGGACAATACCGGTATTGTTCCGGACGTGAATGGGGGAGCAAGGTGGTTTGGCCCACCTGGCGCATTGCTTATTCAGCTCCCATAGGAATATCACTGCTTTTTCGCACGACCGGTTACACCATTTAACCAGCCGGGGGGTAATCAAAGTCGAACGGAAGCCAATTAATACAAATGTAACCACTTTCGATCTTCTATTATCGTTTGGACGTTAACTTAAACCTCTAAGTGATGTGAAAAGCTACCAAACACATAAAGGGATTTTGTTTAGTGAATTCTCTGCATACTAATAAATACTCATATTAAATGAACACGATTAAGCTATAAAGTCGATAGATTGCTCAAAATAGTACCTCTTGAAATAAAACAGAACAAGTGGTTGGTTTCATGAATTCCAAAATTCGGCAGAACAATATTACTGTAATTTATGTGTTCAATATGAGTCGATACGACGTTGGCAAAACCAGATTTATTTAATTTATTATTTATCAAAACGTTAATACCTGTAGTTTGGCCATTTCGAACATCCTGGTCTGCCTAGTAAGTGTATTTCGGCACCATTTTCGTAGATTGGCCAGTGTTATTGATAGAGAACACCATAATCCATCATTGAAGATGGCGAAATAGCACAGGTTCATCATAGCACATCACGAGAAGAAACCTCATAGTAAAAGGAAAATTCACGCCAGCAGTGTTCATCGATTTAAATGTGTTAAGTCGAAAGTGTCTTGACGCAAGAGCACTATTTGGAAATTAATTTCCATTAATTAATTAAAATTAATTCCAACCACATAACAATTTTTTTAAATTTATGGAATCTACAAAAATTATTGAGGCGCTGGTTGGTGTAATGTGCAAAACTCTCAACTTCCCACATTTCCTAAGTTCTAGAGAGAGATCTCGCAAGTTTAATAGAGAGAACATTGCTGGGCAGGGTGCCGGCGGCCCAAGATCAACCAGCCAAATATGGGTTTGATTGCACTTGGGGTACCGTTTATTGGCGAAGAGCCATCAGTGTCGAGGATCAGGCAGATCAGGCATAAGCTCCCAACAAGAAATCTACCTCTAAGAGGACGTGGAACGTGTTGTCGGCCAAAACTAAGTGATTTGTTGAGAATTTCGGCCGGAAAGGGTTCAGGAGGGAAGTTATGCTGGTATGATACCACCAACTCCAGTAATCACATTTTGGAAATGTTGGTGAGTTAACAGAGGCTAAATACTAGGAGTATTCATGGTCTTTGTGTTAACCCTGTTAACTATGTTAGGACCTGTTAGATCGAGAAAAATAATGACGTAGACTTGTAAGAATCGTCTAGTTAACATTGCTCGATCTAACAGGCAGGGCCAAAGTTAGAAGTTCGGTCGAACACGTAGTCACATTGCTATCCGTTAGGGCGTAAGTAACCAACATGGCAGCCAAGAATTTAACAGCTGTTTTTATTTACACGTATTTTTATTCTTACATTCGCATTCAATAAATCAGACCAATACATTTCTTTTGTTCATTTCTGACGTGTCCTTATACTCTCGTTCATAAAAGATAGATCCCCTATCCTGTAAAGTTGTAGGTTGTTAGACGTTAGGGTTAGCGTTGGCGCAGCATTGCGGAAAAATTAAGGTTTAACATGCTAAGAAAAGAATGGGGCGTCCATTTTACTGGACATTTCTCTATTCGAATCTTACAAAGATCATGAATACTCCTATCATTATTCACGCAAACTTTACTGGAAATAATAGCACAGCTGACTGGTCTGGGGTCTGTTCAGACAAGTGTGCTATTTTATAAAATATTTAAAAGTTAAAATTTGGTTTATTTATCAAGTGTAAGGTACTTATAATGGAAGTGTATGATGTGTAGAAGAAGAAATCAGAAAGGAAGAAACGGCTTAGAATAAGATAGTATCAAAAAGGCCAAAACAGGATAATATCTAATTTCTATAATCGAACAATATGTCCTTTTATTTAAATTTGCCATTTAAATAAAAATCAATTAATTAAGAACAAGAACTCAAAAATTGGAAAACCTACGAATAACCCCCTTGAATGCTTAGCATAGTTGAAAGTCTCAAAAGGTTGTTCTCGTATATTCGTGTTTTACTAATACAATTATACATGTAAAAAATAAAGTTATTTATAATGGTAAGTTTGTTATTATTTTTGTGTGAAGAATAATATAGAAACCGAAACTGAAAGAGGACAATAGAAAAAACTTGACGGAAGGCGAAGGGCTCATTCCCCTTCGTTCCTCCTTTAAAGACTAGTCCAGACTGTAAACAATGTTTCCGAACAAAGTTGAACATTGTTTCGCAACAGCGTCGTTGTGAAACATTGCTTTGGAACAAGCTGTATTCATTGTTCAAAATCCAGATCTCAGCTTTATTCTATTCTAGTAGGGGCAATTGCAGGATTTTGTGCTGCCAATTTATTTATTTTCTTAACGGTTTAAAAAACGTTTGTAAAAACGTAGTAAAAACAAAGAAAATGCTAGATTCGGTAGCTTTTGGCAGAACTAAAATTTAAGAATAGATTTTACAGTTGTTCCAGCTAGCGGTCTATCATTGTGATTTACAGACGTTCACTTTTTTTTAATCAATCAATCTTCTTCCCAAGCATTCTTCTTTTTATTTTATTTTTTCTATTTAATAAGTAATCACTTCAGTAAACTAATTCATGGACCCTGGTTGACTGAACTGTGCTTGAAACATGTCCAATTGTTGCGAATGTATGCCATTTAAATGAAAACATACATTTCTAAAACAGTTTCAATACAAGTCAGAAACAAACTTAAACTGTTGCTCAACATTGGGAACGTTCTTTACAGTCAGGGCTAATCTTTAAAGTTATTTTTTAATAAATAGAACATTTAAAGGTGGTGCAAATTTTGAAATTGCTTTAGATGGAGGTCAATCATTTTGTATCAGTATAAGATGGTCACGTTCCTACCAAGCTAACTCTGTTTTCCAAAGCATTCGTCTTTTTATTTTATTTTCTCTTTGTGTGATCCCTACTCTTAAACTAATGCAACAACCCTGGTAGATTGAACTGTGTTTGTCGCTGTACAGTCCGAAGTACCGCACCTTGTCCGCAGTTGGGAGGGATTATTATTTAAGAAAGCAGGGGGAGATCTTTTTACGGAGAGTGAAGGTATTGTAGATGGATTTGTCTGTGTTAATTTTTATCCTTTTCTTTTTACACCAAGACTCTTGTAGTATGAGATTTTAATTAATTGAAAATTGTTAGATTGGGCCGATTTTGCAGTTGTTTTAGCTGGAAGACAATCATTGTGACTTTAAGATGCCCACATTTCTTCTAATCTTATACCAAATGTTTTTCAGTGTTTTTTTTTTCTTCAAAGCATTCCTTTTTTAAATTATATCATTTTTATTTTATTTTCACTATATAATCACTATATGAACATTTATATTAACATCCCACAAACCAACTGCTTTATGTACATTCTCGGTTGGTTTTTATGTTTTATCTCGATTTGAATGAATGAATGAATAAAGGCTTTATTTACACAAAGTATTTACATTAACTTTATATTTCCAAAGAAAAAGCTAAATTGACAATGGCCTTAGCCGTCTTTCGAGTTGCTTTATCAATTTTTGAATCTTGAATGAATCCCTATTTTTGTATTTTTAGAATGACCTTTGATTTTACAAATTGAATTGGTCAACCAGGTATTTTCGGTACCGCAGGGCGTGAGTGAGGTACACCACAAGCTTCCTCCAGTTATCTCTTCCGTTGAGGATTGCAATGACTTCTTCTACATCCAGCTTCAGTTTCCCAAAGTACCTTTGGCGGAACTCTCTCAGAACGGGGCACACTCTCATGAAGTG